GTAAATGCGCGCAAAAACCTCAAATCCTACTTCCACACAAACATTTGTTTTTCCAGACTTTCTAAATTACTTGTGGAAGATCATTTAGAAACAGATGAAGACTGACGCAACGGTGACATTTTTAAGCATAATTAAGTTGACCACATTAAATCAAAATCCGTCGTCTAACGGTGTGAAAGCGAAAGCTGTTGCAGAAGTAGACTAACAAGAAATTGCAGAACAAACATCTCGAAAACAAACATGGTACCCCCTAAAGGCGACTTAAGCTCACCTTCTAACCTGTCTTCTCTATAAACCTATAAACATCTAGGAACGTGGAAAATCGAGGGCAAGATAAGCGGGAAATGTAGGACGTGTGGCGGAAATTAAAAATTAATACAACATTTTACAGCGTAAATCTGAAAGGAATAAGACCACTTGAGATGCCTAGGCATGGATAAGAGGATAATATTAAAATGTATCTTAAAGAAACTGGGTGTGGACTGGATTCAGCTGGATGAGAATGGGGTCAGATGGCGGGCTCTTGTAAACATTGTAATAACCTTAATTTCCGTAAATGAAGGAGAATTTATTGGCCAACTGAGTGTCTCACCTTCTGAAGAACAAGGTGGGAGTATCCTCAATGAAGTCAATAAGTTATCTTCTGATGAAATATAGCTGCAGTTTTATATGAAGGTCAATTTAAAATGTTTAGTTTTTCTCGAAATCGACTCATCTTATCGTACAAGAAATTGCTGCAGGCCTGTATAAAACAGTAAAACATTTACTGAACCATTTGGACATATGGAGTATGTATTACGATATAAAAGCAAAATAATACACTTAATACATTTCTGTGCCCCTAATTAACTGCTTTTAATAGATCTCTATTGCCAATGTCGTAGCAGTAAACATAATTCTTTGTGTCCTTCTTGCACTTTACTTATATAGTTTCCAGACTTGCCTAAACTGGGTATGATTTTTTTATGGTGCGTATGTAAGATTAATCGTCAGACATTTAAGAAGATTATTACAAATGCGTAACAACATGACATAACCATAAGAATCCATCGTAACCAGTTCAACTAGTCACTAAATTTTATAATTACGAGCTTGCCAACCTAACGTTACATGCAGTGGTTATCATGCTGTCGTATTGGGACGGTTCTCGTTTCGAATTTTGGTTCAATCGGCCAGTTATCCTAGGTTCCTTCCACGTAACTATGACACAGCTTGAATTCAAGTCTCGACCCAGTATTTCTAATAAGCAGTGTCATTTCCGGTAGATGTTTTCTTAACGATCATTAAGAGCGACCATGCAACCGGCTAACCCCATCCAAGATGTCTTACGAAATGTCTAAAAGGTTTAATAATTTCAGAAGTAATTCGGAATTGAAACATGCCATAAAGCGTAATCAGTACAAAAACTACAAGAAATAGTTAAATATCACGCCATGAAAAACTACTAGATGGAGTTTAGCTCCACTCATTCTTAATGTCGGTATTACATACAGATGAGTTAACAGATTCGCTCCACGAAAGGTTCACCCCAAGAAATCAATTCCCGGCACTCACTGAATAGGAGAGTGGAAGGCCCCTAGAACTGATATGGATGTGATAAAGTGCAAAATGTATGCCCCGGTCAGGAATCGATTCCCTATCGCCCATCCCATACCCACACACTTACCAAACAGATTTATAAATATAATTATTAATTTGCGTTGACTGAGAAGTCAGTCGTATTTTTGACATAAGTATGATTTCTGTCATTAGAAGTTTCTTTTATAAATGCATGTGTCACAGAAAGTTATTATTAAATGGTTTAGAACTAAACAAAAACCACTCAGTTAAAGCGGAAATGTTCATGAAAATCTATAAGACGCGAGTTTTAACATTTCATACTTCAGAACTGATTCAGGGCACTTACCTGGAACTGGGGTTAGATAAATGATAGTCGTCACTACCGAAGCAAGTCCCACGAAGATGGCAGACCTGAGTAGACATGTCTTTCCTTCGGAAAGCATGACGGTGTAACGCCGGCCCGGACCAAGGCGACTCAACCAGATCGTCGCAGAAGCACAACTGCTAGCTACTGAGTGTACTATACCAATGCGCGGGCGGACAACACCGGTGCAGGAAATCCATGCGCCAAGCAAGATAGGTTTTGCTTTCCGTATTATCGCTGCAAGGACACCATTAAAGAATTTGTCAGTCCTAAAAGAAATTGAACAAAAACTGGAAAGTTCCTCCCAAATGATTTCTTTACGACTTTGCTTACCTCGTTTGCCTCTACCTTCATTTGTCACTTCCAGTTCAAAATCTCGACCCGAAGGTCGACTACTCTGTGGGCTTTCGTTGTTTACCTCAGTCCATTTAAGCAATTCCGAGATTATACCTTTAACGATGGCATTGCCACTGTTACAAAGAAACAATGGAGTGTCCTTGAGATTTGACCATTGATTAACGAAGATAATTTAAGAAATTATAAGAAAAAAATTAATTGAGTGACTATAAGCTGCTCCAATTCTCTAATTGGTGTATATTTTTTTTTTAATTTGACCAATACATTACAGTATACTTCGGCCCAAGTACCTTCACGGAGAGACTTATGGATCCATTATATTCCATTTACATCAAAGCTACTATGGGGATTATATTATAGCCTTGTAGCAATGCAGTGTTAAATGTGAAGGCTTTAAAATAACTGTTGAAATAATCGGTCTCTGATTCCTTTTATAAAACGAGATAGTCATTGCTCACTTTCACTCAGCTGATGTCACGCTATGCCTCTCTCTCTCTCTCTTAAAGCCTGCTAAGCCTATGTAATCATCTACGCCGATTACATAAAAAGAAAATCAAGTATCAGGAAGAAAATGTTATGTGAGATGGCGTTGGCTCTATGGACAATTTATTCGCTGAAGGTACATTTTTCGATACATTATGAAATGAATGTAAAACGTCAGCTACTTATTTATGAGAAAAACGTAAATAATATCAGCGGTGGTCTTCTGCCCTTCAACGCCGCGTATATATAGGTGGTTCCTCCGAAACGTTGGTATCCACCTACAGTTCTACAGGGCGACACATCGTAAAGACCACATTCGACATTTTCACCGACATCAGAGCTTCCGTGGTTTGAGTTGGGTTTCACCCAAAATTTTAGCACGTGCCAACACATTCCAATCTTGGTTAAAATCTAACAAAAATTAGTACTTTACATCAAGATCAACATGCCTCCTTTGCTTGTGGAAGCGACTGGATGGAAAACGCCGAGCCAGCTGCACAACCAAGTCTCCCCGATATCACAATTGAGGCAGTCACAACGCCCACATGAAGGTCACTGGCCTCCGATAAATCAGAACGTGTGAAAAGACGAAGAACAGAATTAAATAAAACGGAAGTAAACAAAAGAGAGAAAGGTTAGAAGGTACAAATGTGGTTTCAAGAGCAACTATACATAATAATTTATTTATATCTTTGGAATACAATCACATACAAATAACTGTGAGAAACATAAACAAATGTCTGCTAACCTTTCAAATTAAATGCTCGCATAAATAATATTTAATAATTCAGTCTATACCGCAAATCAGCTGGTTCTCCAGCAAGTATGACAGGTGTCTGAGAAGAACAAGTTCATACAGTCAAATAATGTACAAGTTTTACATGGATAATTTCAGGTAAGTACATCAAGACTGCAAGCTACAACTTCATCACATTGGTATTTAAGTATAGTCGTATCAGCTACTGAAATGTCATCATGTGAGTGATTATGTTTTGTAGAATGATGGATAATAATGTATTAATTGAACAAATAAAAAGGAATATATGATTATCAGTTCTATGAAGAAGCAACAAGATATGAAGAAACGTAAGAGCTGAAAGCTTTGCTCTTATTAAAAACAACTTATTTCATGTTCCCCTTATCAGGCGGAAATTGACAAATTTGTCTCTACGAGATAGGTATGTTCTTCTCGTATTAAGTTCATTACAGAATATTTAAAAACGTACAAATAAAATCCTACCCCTTCTTAAATCTGTAACAAAGTGACAAACTGAAATAACTGTTTGTCTATGTACGATTTGAGGTTTTCACAGCGGTGAGTATGAAGATTTCTGTCTTCTGAGTTGTTGCGCTGTGTAGTCTGGTGGATGTTTACCAACGTTTCAGAGGTCATACTGCCTCCATCATCAGGGCAATGTTTGTCTCTTTAATCTTTCCATCCCAGCCATCTTCAGACTCACCATCGTGAAGACCTCAAATCCTACTTAAACTTCTCGAAGCTACAAATGAGATTTCTCACTCAGAAATCCGTCATTTCTTATTAAGTTTGGTGCTTAATAATTACAATAACAGACCATCATACTAATATAATTTATTATCAACATTATTAATTGACCATCTCTGCGCATTTCTTGTAAATTTCTGCCCATGTACTTACATATTTGTCTCCTAGTATATTATTTATTACATGTTTTGGACATATGAGTCAATCTTCATATGCTTAATCTGTCTCGTAGACCACCTTATTGCTGACAACTACTAAACTACACTACACTACATTGTAGAGTACCACTAAAATGTTAACCCCAAAAGTTAAAGCCTGGTTCGCAGCCACTATAATACAGGGTTTTAAATCCCTTATTCGCGCATAATAAACGAATTATCAATTAGCATGTAGGTCTCTGCCAAAGAGACACATAACGGCGCAGCATCAAGGATAGAGAGTATTTCCGAGTCCAGTGTCTGGTGATGGAAGAAGAGTAATGAATAATCACCAAGTCCGATTTCCACCAGGGAAGAATTCTGTGGACCTAAATGGGGCCGGATATAAAAGGTCTTGTTTGTAGAGGCGCACTGTATATGAGAATGTTTTCTGGTTTAAGTAGCAGAATTATTTTTCAAAAAAATTTGCCACTGGGAAGTGAAATTTTGTATCTGATGTCATCTTATGTTCGAATAAATCTGGCATGTAAAAGCAAGAAGGTAAGTAACAAAAATGAAGACAATTCTATCATATGTTTTGATAAAATAAGCATATCACAGGAAGACGTACCTTACATTATACATAATAACACAACTTTTCAATTCCTTTAGTCCAAATTATGCTAATTCCTAATTCCATTGGAATATAAAACATTTTAGGATTGCCTTAAGTCATTCTTGGGCTGCTTCTCTCTGACTGATGCTCACTTCAGGTGTAATTTCATCAAATTCTTTTGTTGTCGCAGGTACAAAGATCGATGTCCTCCTCAGCCTCAACAACCCAGAATATGTATCGACACTGCTCAATCTTCCTTTGAATCTTTCCACCCACTCACAAATTCTCACCATGCTGAAATATCAATCTTCCATAAATTTCACAAATTTTCACACATCTGCCAGACCATCAGAAAGATAAGTTCACAAATAAAACTTGGAAAAAAAGCCCCTGTTAAAATTTTTTGTGTGTCTGTCTGTCTGTCAAGAACAGCTAATCATATTTTCATAAAATAATGTATCAGGAAATTTTTACAAAAATTCGTTAACATTCCAATTTTTGTTGCAGTTAAATACCAACAGGAACTTTACATGAAGACATAAATTCACTTCTGCACCATGTTCATATTTACTAACTTGTCTTCTTTGGTACATTCTATCAATGAAGCAGCCATGTTAAATGTCACACTTTCTTATTCTTCTTTTGCAATTCAGGGCATTCTAACCTCAAGGAAATCTCCAGTCTTCCTTAGACTTCCGTGACTTCTTTGTCCCTATGTTTATCCTGGGTGTAGCTTTTAAAATGCAACACAATCACATACTATGGTAACAAAATAAAATCAAAAACAGGTCAAATCCTACGTAATAAATTCTCCCAAGTGATACGGCTAAACAGGTGTGAACACAGCGTATCCATGAGCAGAACATGTTCGTTCTTGAACATTACTTCACAACAAAATAATTTTCCACTGTTCATAAACCATTTAGCAATGCGTACATGACAAAATAATACCAAATTAGACAAAACACAAACTGGTAACAAACTTTCAGGTCACAAAGTGTTCGTGACAAAACCGCCAAAATTAGAAAGAATTCATTATTGTCAATAGTTCATTTTATGCATAAAGGGATGTCACATAGTGTGAATATTTTTCAAAAAAATGAAAAAAGAAGTTTTTCATAACATGAAACCTGGTTAAAAATATTATTCGTTGAACTTCATCGACTACACATCATGGTATATGCACTGTCTTCCAGGCCATACATCACTATAGTATGGTGCTCTAAATGCTCTGTTCTTTTATGATAAAGGTAATTTCCTTGTCGTTCAGTAACCAATTTGACAGCAACTAGTTACACTCTTACACAAAGGAAAAACATCTGGTAAAAATGAAGGGCAACTGCCGAAGTGGATACATACACTGACGCCGACAGAAATCGTTTTGTGTACACTATGAACTGCACTGATGCCTTTCCAGAAATGTTATATTTGAAACCTTTATTTTTGGATTTACCTTGCTCTTCTCTACATTATGTGGGAGAACCAACCAATTACGAAATAAAACCTGTTCTTGTGACCTTTTTAGTACAAGATAAGTAAACTCTTTTGGGGCCCAATATTTCATGAGAATTTACATAACAATGAACAGTTTCCTATAAAATGTTAATGTGAACCTTTCCCCCAAAATTACTAATTTCATTTTTATGATTTACAAACAAATGCACAGCCATTTTGTATCTATCCAGGTGAGATACAATGGTCTTCATTCTCCTTCACTTGAAACTAATCATTCCACCTTCATCTTCGTATAATTGTGCTCACCAGACATAATTTCTGTCTAATAAATGTTTATGCAAAGGTCTATATACTGTACAATTCTTCCTTATGTTGAGTCAAGTGTTCACTTACGAACTTCTCTTGCCAACATATAGCATTTACATTCATCATCAGATTTTATAATTCACATATAAACCCATTTACCTTCTACTCTATCTCAGACTCTTTAAGCAACCAGAATAATTGTCAGTGACAACACAGGAACATCTCACCTTCTATTTGGAACAGAATTTTAATAAGAAACCAGTCACAGAACTTGGTTACAGAGCTGACAGTATAAATTACCTGAGTATCTTCTTTATAACTTCTAATTATCTCAAATTCAGTCGGTTTCTGCATTTAAAGTTATGGAACAACAAATAACTTCATACCGAATGGAAGAGGAGAATTGACGAGGCCATGGACCAAATACAGACCAGAGAGCCATAGAAGATGAAGAACATATCTTCAGTCCCACATTTTTCTTCATGTTATGAAAATTTTTAGTTAATCTATTGACAACAGTGATTTGAAAATATTATGCATGATTCACATTACAATTTTATGTTCATATGTTAAACAGAGTACCGTATCATCTATAAAAGCATGCCCCATTTGCAGACAATACCATAAAGTAAAGTTTGTCCTGCTATGCGCCATGTAGGCGCTTGGGGTGAGAGGAGGTATAGCTCCTCTCTTCCTTGACCTCGGCACTAGATAGGGGTGAGTGGTCAGCATCACGCCCCGGCCGGCTTTACCACCGGGAAAGGACCCCGGTACCCATTGTAGAGGAGGCTGGGTGGGCCCCAGAGCCAACAAAATAATCAGGTTATACAGAACTGATTCTATTTTTAGTAAAAAAAATTGTAATTGTATGGTTATGTCAAGACTTTAATAAAAATACTAAAAGCAACCAAATTATGGAAACAGCTTGCTCATAACCAACAATAACAACCAAAATATTACATAACCTACACATCTGAAATGCCATAACCTCATTTTGAAAAAACACATGTGAAGACCTCAGATAAAACATTTGAAAGTAATAGTTTCATACAGCAGTCTAAAACTACTAATTTAACATTTCCTAAAAATGTAAACTATTATAATTAAACTTTTTGCTGCATAACTTGTCAATTATATATATATAGTAATTTGTAGAAGTAACATAGGATGGATAAGTCCATTAAAATTTATTTACAATGCTGATAGGTTAAAAAAGTAAAATGTGGTTAAAATGCTGCAGACAGAATGAATATTCCATGGGCATTGAAAGCAATATCAAATAATGTCACTGTATATTACAGTATCTTCATGTCAGCATCTCCATAATTAAAATAGAAGACAATTTTCATGAACCTGCTTGCACATTTCTTGAATTGAGAACAAAAATTATTACGTGTATTTATACAATGAATAAACATTTTAATATTACTTACATAATTTAATTTTCAGAAAGAAGAATTGTTCCTGCAGAAATTGCTTAGCTGTTGCTTTTACAAACTAATTAATCTCAGGTATCCATTTCAGTGACATCTTTTAATATTCAGAGTATCAAGCTTCTAGATGTTGGTACCTCTCAGAAGGGGGTCTGTTACTTGTAAAGCCTGTATCTACCCAGGTCACCAATAGTACACACAGAAACACATGGACATGCATCCATGCCCAAACTTGAACCCACAATCCCAATGCTTGAGAGGTTAAAGAATATATGTACCTCAGACCACATGGTCACCTTAAGCAGTGTAGCAGGCCTATATATCATGATGTGTAATCTGAATGATGTTTTGGGATGTCTAAAAAATCAGGTACATGTTCAGTAGTCACATGACACAGGATTAAAATGTCATTAATAATAACATTTCAATAAATTATTTCTATACCCAAATTACTTAGATTTGAATGATGATTAAATATACTCAAAATGATGTGGCAAAAAGCAATGTGTTAGTGATTTTGAAAAGTTTTACATGATACTGAATAAAATTAAAGCACCTAAAAGACGGCTGTGAGCTATAGAAGTATGTAATGAACATAAAAGATATGTAAAATAATTTAACCTTCACAAAAGTTTATGCAACAACAAATTCATCCATATTTTTAAAGGCTAATAACTATAACTGATAGTTTACATGAAAATAAAATAATTCTCATGACACACCATAATGAGATATCTAATTATTTTGTTTTAATATGATAGCAAGATTAAAATGTAAGACTAAAACATTTCAACACCAGTTTATCCACCTGGGAATTTAACAAACTATGAGGGTTGTTCACATGAAACACATCCACTGTGCTTTTATTAAAATAGGAGTTGCAGGTGATCTCATGGCTGTGCGCATGATATACCATCAATCAACCAGCAAATGTGCATCAGAACAGGCACATCAAAGAAAGCAGGCAGGAATGGTGCAGCATTCCAGATGAAGAATCCATTCAGTAATTCAGATCCTTTGCTCTATGCATTTGACCCCTTTACGAAAGCACAAAGGGTTCAGGGATTTAGGCAGAATTAAGACATCCAGCTCCTTCCCAGGCAGTTTTTTGTGGGTGGATCCATCAAACTGGTCCATTGATCAGAAGCTTAGCTCAATACCCTACTCCCTTATGCAGAACAACCCAAAAATTGGTTTCATTTGAACAAGCCTGATATATCCCCAAAACTTGGGCAGTTTTCTCAGGAGCTTATTAAACCATACTTAATTTTTAACATGCTCTGAAACACTGGTATTTCATTTACATTCCTTCTTACATACTGCTTAAACCATTCTGTCAAACTGTGTTGTTACAGCCATGTGAAATACGTAACTACTCAAATGCTATGCTTTATGCCATACCAGAAATTTCCAACTGCAGGAATGTAACAAATTAAAACTGACATTTGCGATTACCAGACTGAAAAGTATAAACATGCCAAAATCTAATAATTAAACACTGTATACACAAAACATAATGGTTATGTTAGCCGATATATTAATTTTATGACTGCAAGATGGATATATGACATATTATGTTCGATCTTAATCTCATTCTTTGCAAGGTGTTTGGTCAAGGTAAAATTTGCAACCCTAATGGAGGAATGTTCCTGTGAACGCTAGTATTTGTGCTTACCCCACAGTTTACTCCTGGAAGGCGAATATTACTCTTCTTATTTTCTCAAACATGTTCTTTGCTTTTATGCGCCCATTCACACAGACGAAAACCTTTTTCTGAACACGAAGAAAAAGATGTTGGTAGTAAACCTTACAAACAATACAAGCATGCAATATATTTCTAAATATAAATTAACGACTCACTGATATGACTGCTTTGTTGTACATACTCAGAGAAAAACTTTACAATACAAAATTTGTTTTTGTACATCAAGAATGGAGCATGTACACAAATAAATGTTTAGGAACACTGAACAAATTATTATATACATATATAATAAAATATCTTAGTGGGCAGGTACAGCACTTCAGGGATCAAAAGTGTAATAAATGCCCAATTATAAAAAAATAATAATGGCATATCTTTTTAACAACAAATTTACAGTAGAAAGATATGTTAATGTATTACACAGAGCACTACAATGCTTTGGCTTTCACTCTTTTCATCATTATTATGTCACTTCTCTCTGAAGGTAAGGCAATACTTTATAAACACTTCTGACCACACTCAGTTCTCTGAACAAGATAATGCACAATCATCAGCAGATTTAACTTCATGGGTGTTGTCAACACTGTCATCAGACTCACTATCCCCACTACTGCTACTTATGCTACTGCTACTGCTACTGCTATTACTGTCAATACTGGCACCACTGTTACTTCTACTACCACCACTGCTGCTGCTGCTACTACTACTACTACTACTGCTACCACCACCACTAGCAGTACCAGCAGCAGCACAAGAACAACCCCAAATATTACACAGACTGCTCTCATGAAACTTTAACGACCAAGATACTATCTATACATGACACTGCTGCTGCTGCTGCTGCTGTTCTTGTTACTACTACTACTACTACTACTGGTCCCAGATTCAGATTTGTTATCGTCAGCACTGGCAAATACTATGCTCGCAGCTGCCGAGGCTTCAACATCATCAATGTCACTGTTCGCCTCATTCTTCTCGTCTACATCATCCATGTTGCATACAACCAATTCTTTGGATCCTTCTTCAACTATGTTCTGACCATCACCTATACTATTCTCACAGATGGGCTCCCCAGTACGAAGGTCTATGAACACCTTCTCCATCGACTCCTCCTTTATTTCAGGGGACAGTGATGGGTAGAATCTGTCATCAGATATCTGTGCATTGCCATTGTCTTGGAATACCACTCTTTTGCCAGAAGACTCAAGTGAGTTAAACAGAAAACCTTCTACAGCCTGATTCATATTCTCTTTTCCTTCTTCACATGCCCAAAGTTCAATGCGATCATACTTCATATATACGTCAGGTTGGAACTTCTTAAAGTGAAGCTTGCTGTGCTCCCGAAGAAAATGAACCTGTGGCACGGTGTAGTCGCAGTGAGAACAAACAAAAGCTCCACGCACTCCCGAAACAGACAGGTGACGTTTGATATGACTCTCAACCCCATCACGGCGCTGACTAGAATAAGGGCAATGTGGACATCGGAAGCACTTTCGTTCATCTCCTCCATCACGGGAACTGCTGGCATTACTTGATCTTCGTTGCTGAAGAAGCAGAATTGTCTGGCGATCTGCCATCGATAACTGCAGGGGGCCATGCCGAACTGTTGATGAGCTACCAATTGTTTTTACTGAGCGTGGTGTCAGAGGAGGAATGTCATCTTCTGCAGCACTTGATTCTTCAGCAACATCTGCTTCTCCTCCTTCCTTCACGGTACCACTATCCTTCGCTGATTTTTCTAACTTGCGCGCCTCTATGGCATCCTCATTATTCTTATGCTTGCGCATGTGTTGGATGTAGTTAGCATAATATTTGACTGAATAGTCACATTTTTCACACTTATACCGCTGTTTGGATCCATGCAGCGACAGGTGAACTTTGTACTGTTCCCGTTTTTCAAAAGCCGATGGACACTTGTGGCATTTGTATCGTTTCTCCTTCAGCCTCCCATTTTTTAAATAGGTAGGATATATAAAGTCTGGATTCCCATGTATTAAAATCCCAAATTGTGGGTCCACATGCAGAGATGAATAATCAGTTATGTTTCGCCTAGCATTAGTAGTGCTGCTACTTTGTTTCTGTGCCTCTGCCCTCTGCTGAAACAATTCAGTTCCAGAAAGTGGAACAACACCTGAAGAGCTCTTGCACTTACCTGCTGAGTTGTTCTGTCGCAATTTAGACGTGCTGCTATGAATCATCTCGTGCTTCACCAGATTTCCATACGTCTTGACTGCATAATCGCAGCTCCTACACTTGTGAGGACCAGAACCCCCATGTAGACTGGTGTGATACTCAAGAGCTACAAACTTGAAAAACCTTGCTGGGCATAGCTTGCATGAATACTGCCTCACCGCAGTTCTTGCCGAAGTTACAGGGGCATCTGAACTGCCTGCTTCCTGTTCAATAGGATGCTGTATTTGTGGGGAAACAGCTCCACCAATCACCACCCAAACCGGACCTAACACACCAGGACCTTCTACTATGACAGCCGACCTAGGTCGGGGGTACCGAGAAGAGGTATCGTACATTTTACTAAGAACGTCTGTCCGCTCCTGGTACTCCTCTGTGTGAACCTTTAGATGAGCTAACAGATGTGGCCTCTGTCTTGCCGTGTATGAACACGACTCACACCTATGTGCCAATCGAATCTCGTGGAAACGAATGTGAATAGTTAATTCCTTTTCAAACAAGAATCTTGCTGGACAATGTGAACAAAAGCATAATAAATGCACATCATCTGCTTCTGCCCTTGAATCCTTATTATTTTCCACATCAGATTCATTAACACCAACATTCTTGCCACTGTCACTTTCTTTAGAAGTTTCCAGCTGGAAACTTTCTGCTTCTTCTTCGCACATTTCCTGCTCCTCTTTGTCCATATTAACGACACTCTCATCACCACTGTCCTTACACATGTTTGCATTCAGCTCTTTTAACTGTGCCTCATCACTTCTTGTGTTGTCTACCAGACAATGCACTTGTCCATGCAGACCCTGATGAACTTTGGCATGTGAAGACAGAACTCCGGCATTATTGCAGATGTAATTGCAGTCAGGACAGTGGTGTTGCTGGAGAGTCTGTTGCTGCAGCTGCTGGTTTCCCGAAGCACCTTGCTCTTTGGACTCACTGTCTTTCAAGGCGTCTAACTGAGCAACATCGGTTGTATTACGTACACGATGCATCTTCTCGTGTTCTTGAATATTGGCTTTACGCAGATTCACATGAGGGCAAAAACGACATTTAAACATTTTTGAAAACTTCCTTCCCCGAGACACCCAAACTAGCGGTATGTCCGACATATGGCGAGTATCTAATGCAAATTCAGACGCCAGTGCACTAACATATGGACGCGATATTACAGTGACTTCTTCGATTTCATCAGCTCCATCCTCTCGCATCTCCTTGTCAGACAACTTGGTAGGACTCTTCTGAGGAGGAATAAGAATTCCATGAACACGCAGATGTTGATGCAATAAGTGGCGACGACTCACATTATAGGAGCACAGACCGCATTTGAAAGGTGCCCCACGGGGACGATGGAACTGTTTGTGATATAGAAACTGACTCTTGCTGTTGCTGACATAGGGACACCCAAAACACTTGTACCGCTTATGTGGGCTTGTGTCAATGTTGTGGTGCTGTCGTCCTCCCTGCTAGAAAATAAAAGTAAGCCATGTAATTTGGAACCTCCACAGAGTATGTTAAGATTCAATTAATTTCACTCACCCCCAATCTAGTGCCAAGGTCAAGAATGACCAGAAGCTATAACCCCTCTCCTCAAGTGCCCCCATCTGGTACGACAGCTTTAATTTACCCCTCCATATCTGCAGCACCATAACTCACCTCTTCTGTCCTCTTCTCCAACTTCACAGGTGTTGTTTTGTGTAAGCTTTTCCCTTGCTGCATAGCCTTTGATATGTAGTCCTCTGGCTCAGTGACACCGTGTAGTTTCATGTGCTGCAGTAGGTCCCTGCCACAGTACAATGAATTCATCTACATCAGTGGTCCCCAACCTTTTTGTGCCTATGGGCACATTTGAGAGTTTATGAGATCGTGGCGGGCACCAACCAATTAACA